TGAGGGATTCTGAGAAAGCCTATCTTTTTAGAGTTTGTAGCTCCAGTGATGGAGCCATCGTGACTGTTGCATCCCAGGGTTCAAAGATTAGCCCAGGCCAAAGGCACAACACACATTGATTAGATACCAATTTTCACGTACCTGCTCGCCTCACCATCTCACCCCTCCGTACAGTCGTACAAAAGCAGCTGCAGCTTTTGACCGTCGCCCGTCTGTTTGCGTTTCAACAGCCGCTAACGTAAGGGGGAGGAGTCGATCGGACCCCCGCGGCCTCTCGGATTCTGATATGGAGCTGTGCATAAAAAAGACGAGCGTGCTACCCGTGACAATAGGAAGCCGCTGCTGCCCATTTTTAAGGTCCTCGGTCATTCCGTCTCATTCAAGAGGGCAATGACAAGTGTCGAGAAAATCGGGACCCGCTATAACTCCTTGAAGTGAGAGTTTATGGCTCAAGATGATCTCCAGAAAAAGCTCATAAGCCAACGCCCAACGGTCATTATGGGTCCAGAGGCCAGTTTTACCAACAGAAAAATAGCCGCCTGCCGGAATTTTTGCCTAAAGATCGTTTCACATATGGAGCGTAAACGGTAAAGCTCTATCCGCTTACGAGCCCATCGCGTTTACGCTCCGTATGTGAAGCGATCTTGAGGCAAAAGTTCCGGCAGACGGTTATTTTTCTGTTGGTAAAACTGGTCTTAGGTCATGATATTTTCCGGGCTGGTAAAAAAAAAAAAATATGATGGGCTCGAGGGTACAATTTGGTCGTGATCCAATGCCTTTTACGTGAGCTTTTAACGAAAAACCACCCGCCGCCCCTATACGTACGTACAAGGGTTAAATGGGATATAGCATAGGCGGCGGAACGGGGAGGGGCAGGGCACCGGGGCACCGTGCACCCTTTGATTTTTGCATTTTAACATTAGCCCTATGGGCGTTGCATGGAAAGAATGGGACCAAAAGTCGGCAGTGCCCCCCCCCCCCCCCGAAGGTGTTCCGCCGCTACTGGGATATAGGCATTAAATGTTTTGTGGAGGAAGTGTCATGTTTTAAATTTGATGCATTGGAAATGCACAAATACCCAAAGAGTTCCAGGACGGTATGGAATTTCAGTAAACTTGGTTGTGTCAGCAATGGGGTCTGGTAGGTGGGGGTAATGGCCCTGCCTGGCGCCCAAAAAGGGGGCACGACCCCGAATGACCTGCCGACCACTGCCGTAGAGTGTCCGCCTCCTCTCGGCACATTTGGCAGATACGACCGGACACTCCACGGAGCTGCTCCAGTCGTCGATCGGCGGCCGATATAATACGATGGAGATGCTGAATTGATCCGAGCAGGACCAGTGGCCGGCCCGGAGCGATGAACGTCCCACGGTGACAGAGAGGCGGTCCTGTTCTCTCCCTCGACCGGGCACACTGTCAGAGTAGGTATATCGATTTAGGCTCAAGCTATCTTTAGCAAACTCGTCTTTTTCACCTCCCGAGGTCGCTGAGATCATGCACGGTCACCATATTCTGGATGAATGGTTCAATTACACACCCAAGACCAAGACGAATGGATGCTATTTTAATCACATCGGACTTGGCCAAGAATATCTGGGACTCGACCAAGGCTATAGAACTAAACGCCCTATACATATTCAACCAAATACACGCTGGACGTGTGATTGCTGCAAAATAGTTCATCGAGTCCGAGATTAGCATCGTTTTAAGTGACGATACAAGACAGCGATGGCGCAGTTGTTACGAAAGTGAACTATCGATGTATTTGTATTGTTGGTATTTGTAAGATCTTAGAGGATCGCGCAGGTAAGGGGTGCGTATTGAGCTCTTAGAATAAATCTAAATACTTGCAACTACTAAAGAAGTAGATGAGAGACCAAAATGAGAGAAAGAGATCACAGCGAAAGAAATGAGAAAGAGAGCTGTGGAACTTGCGAGAAGATTGTTAGAGAAAGGGACAATGGAGTCAAATGCGACAGATGTGGCGCATGGTACCACGCTGGGTGCCAAAACCTGAGTGCTGAGTTCTACAAAATTTTGAAGAAATATGAAGAAGAGCAATGGTTCTGTAAGATGTGTCGCTCGGAAATAAAACAACTAGATGATCGGATCAAAACACTGGCAGCAGAGAACAAAGACCTCAAAAAACGAGTCCAATCGTTGGAAGAAAAGTGGGAGCTATTCAAAACTGAACTCAAAGAAGAAACTGTGAAATGCACTCTGGAGAAAGTTTCACAGGAAATGAGCAAACACATGGAAGAACTTGAAGAAAGAAGCAAAAGGAAGAACAACATTGTGCTTTACAATGTACCCGAGTCAACAAAAGAAGATCCGAAAGAGAGGCAATCTGATGACATGGTGAGGTGTTTGGACCTGTTCGAAGGATCCTTGAAAGTGACAGATGTCAAGATCGAAAGTCTGGTCAGAATGGGAAGGAAAGAAAATGAAAGGAAGCGACCCCTGCTCGTGAAACTCTCATCCGAAGGTGAAAAGAAACACATTTTGGCAAGTGCCAAAAATCTGAAGGGTGAAGAAAACCCATGGAAAAAGCGAGTAGGCATATCACGAGATATGACAAAAATGGAAAGGGATCAGGACATGAAACTGAGGGAGGAACTGAAGCTCAAAAAAGCTGCGGGTGACCACACATGGTACATAAAAAATGGGAAGCTACAGAAGAAAGAGGGAGAGGTACAGAAAGACCAGGAGAGAAGGAACTAGTAAACCCAGACAGACTAAGCAAGAAGAAATGGAAAGATGAGAACATATCAAGAAAGAAAGAAGAAAAAAGCAAGAAAAAAATTGTCATAAATCTAGTCAATGTGCAAGGATTAACTAAGCCAAAGGCTGTAGAACTAGAACAGCTCCTCCAAACAGATTGTGATCTCATATGCCTTACAGAAACTCAACAAAAATATGAAAAAGTGCAATTTTCTAGAGGTGTAGATAAAGTTGAGAGTATGAGAGAGATGGAAGACAAGAAAGGAGGAGGATTGCTCCTGATGTACAAAGCAAATGATCTTTTCAATGTAACAAAGGTACAAACTGCAAACCGTGATATTTTGTATGCAAAAGTGAAGGTAGCCAGAGAAACTTTGCATATAGTGATAGTTTATTTCTCTGTTGTTAACAAACATGAAGATAAGAAAAGGAATGAAAGGATAAAAAAGGAAGTGGAAAAAATAATTGAAAACGTTGAAGAAGAGCATGAAGCACTAGCGATTTTAGGTGATTTCAATGGACATATCACCGGCCTAGGGAAACAAAGAGAAGATGACAATGGAAAAACAGTTATTGAATGGTTGAATGAATATGCATTGATTCTTCTCAACATGGATGGAAGATGCAAGGGACAAATCACATGGCAGAGAAAAGATCAACAAAGTGTGATTGACTTTGTTATAGTAAATGGTAGATGCTACAAGTGGTTCGAGGAAATGATCATAGATGAAGACAGAGAAAAGTTCGATCTGTCAGACCACAACATGATTACTGTGAGCATGAAGATACCAGATGGAAAAAATCTAAACTTCACCCAAGGGAAGGAAGATGTCATTGAATATTATAAGACTGATGAAGAGACACTAAAAGAGTTTGCGGAAGAAGTATGTAAAAGGGTACATGATGAAGAACAAGTTACGATGGAAGTGTTAAATAGAACAATGAAAGACACAGCTGAAGAAAAGCTGAAAGCCAGATATATAAGGAGAGTTCTGAACAAACAAGAGCAAGTGAAAGAACCTCCATGGATGACAAAAGAAATAAGAAAAGAAATCAAGAAAAGGAAAGAAATAAACAGGAAAAAACGAAATGCCTCAACTCAGGAAGAGGTAAAGGCCATGGAACTATTGTATTTAAAGCAGAAAAGACATGTACAAAGCCTGGTCAAAGAGCAGATGAGTATACATGAAAAGAAGATAACCAATGAAATAAAATGCAGCACAAACAGAAGCAAGGCGCTATGGATGAACATTGACAACTTAAGGAGAAAGGATGGCAAAAAGAATGAGGAAACCAACCTATTCAGCACAGATGGACATAGACTAGAGAAAAAGGAAGAGAAGGAAGAACTGGTAAGATATTGGAAGACTGTATACCAAAAACATGAAAATGACATAAATCAGGTATGGAATGAAGAAAAGAAAAGTGAATACATCAGAACTTTGCAACATGATGAGCAAACTATCAATGCCAGAAGACCACTTAAAGATCATGAAGAGTTGGCTCAAACTGCTATAAGTGAATTGAAGGCCATGACTGAGCCAATCATAAGCGAAGAAAAGGTTCAAAGATGTGTTAAAAACATGAAAGGCAAGACATCAGCAGGTCCTGATGGACTGAAAGCAGAGATGTATAAAGCACTCCTAAAGACAAGGGACGGATTGAAAATATTAACGAGCTGTATAAGAAGAGAAGTGGAAGAAAGAAGGAAAATGAGTGAATGGAAAACATCAAAGACAAGAATGATAAAGAAGGTACCACGCCCAACAGCAAAAGACCTTAGACCTATAGCGCTCACAAATGTAGGGTATAAAATCTTCATGACCCTAATGAAAAATGAGATTGAAGAACACATAAGAGAAAATGATGCTATAATTGAAACCCAAGCTGGATTCACGAAAGGGGGGAAGATTGAAGATAACCTCTACATCCTGAACTATTGCGTAGAAGACAGCTATAAAAGGAAGACCCCACTGTATGTTACATCAATCGATTATAGAAAAGCATTTGATTCCGTGAAAAGAAGTGAAATGATAAGAGCTTTGATGGCATATAAGATCCATCCAAAAGTTATAGATGCCGTAGCAGATATATACCAAGGAGACTCTACACTGATCAACTTGAATGAGAGCACAACAGAGGAAATGGACGTGACAAGTGGAATTCGACAAGGATGTACCGGTTCTACAGCATTGTTCAAGATTGTTACGTATATAATCACCAAAGAAATACAGGAGACAACGCTTGGGTTCAGAAACAGGAAATTCTACATTCCAATACTGTTCTTTGCAGACGATGGACTAATATTAGCACATTCACTTCATGAAACACAACTGCTGATCAAAGTTCTAACCGAAGTGAGTAAGAAGTGTGGTCTGGATATTAACAAGGATAAAAGTGCTGTATTGGTATTCAATTGCAAGGAACAACCAGCTGAAGTAGAAGGAATACCGACAACAGACAAGTTGAAGTATCTGGGTATAAGGATTGGAAATCAGCGAAACATGTTCAAGGAGCAGAAACAGCAGATGATAGAAAAAGCTCAAAGGATGGCAAACATGACTTATGGGGTGATCGCGAGAAGTTGCAACAAGCTCATGATAGGAAAAACATTCTGGAAGAGCCTTGCTCTACCATCCATTTTGTATGGTGCCAACATATTCTACATAACGGAAGAAGAGGTAAAGAAACTGGAAATGATAGAAAACGGAGTATATCGACAGATACTCGGTGCACCGAGATATACCGCCAACTGTGCCCTCCGGGGCGAAATTGGAGCTTCGACGATGAAAACAAGAGTTATGAAAGGGCATCTACAGTATGTTAGAAGCACTCTTCAAGGAAATAACCAACTATTGAAGGAAGTAATAGAAACTCAATTAGAAGAGAAGAGTACGAAATGGGCAAAAATGATCAACGCGCACCTAGAAACGCTAAACCTAAGCCAAAAAGACATGAGAGACTTGAAGAAAGAAGAACTTAACCAAAATATGATCAGGTGGGACGATAAAAGATGGAAAGAGGAAGTAGAGACCAAAACAAGTCTGAGGATATACAAGAGATGGAAACTGAAGGTAAAAGAAGATGATGTATATGACAACACCCCACAATCAAGAATCCTCTTTCAAGCAAGAACGAACACTCTCCCTCTGAACTCTAGGAAGAGGTTTACAAAAGAGAAAACAAACTGTGTTCTGTGTGATGAACAAAATGAGGATCTAAAACACTTCTTGTTGGAATGTCCAATATTGAGTGAGATTAGAGAGAAATGTCCCGAACTGCAACAGCCATACTGGGAAGATAAAGAAGAAGTCATTATGAAATTTCTATTTGATGATAATAGGAAACATATGGAAGATAAGAAACAAATTCTATACAGCATGTGGAAGTTAAGATATAGAAGGCAAAAAGAAAAAGAGCTCAATACTATCATGCACCCCATACCAACTCATAGCGCGATAGCTTAAGTACAGTTTAAAAGAATAGGAGGAGCCGTTGCAAAGGCAAATCCTCTAAACCATCATCATCATCATCATTATTTGTTCGTATTGGGCTAGAACAGTGGTCGGCAGGCCCTCCGGGGTCGTGCCCCCTTTTCGGGCGCGAGGCAGGGCCATTACCCCCACCCTACCAGACACCATTGCATACACAACCGAGCTCACTGAAATGTCATACCTTTCCGTGACTCTTTGGGTATTTCGGGTATTGGATGGTATTATTATGGAAAAACGTCGCATCACGACACAATTTTACCCTCGAGCCGATCATTTTTTTCCTTATCTGCCATAAAGCATGTCATACATTGACAGAAATAACTGTTGACTTGTTAGGCAGTTGTTTCTTGAGTGATGGAAGGTCATAAAATTTCAATTCTAGAAGGTACAGCGGGTGCTGATCAGATCTACTACACAATTGTCATTGACCCTTTGAAAGTCTTAAGTCACCCAATGGCCAAGGAAGTTAACCGTCACCCGTATTGGTGTTTTGCCAGCCGCTAATTTATGGGGGGAGAAATTCGTTGGACCCCTGGGGGTCCAACGAATGTTGGAGGCTAGGGTCCGACCGGCCCCTCCCCGTTTACGTTAGCTGTTATGAAAACGCCAATAGAGGGGCGACGGTTAGCGTTCGATCTTTGAACCCTGAGACCAAACAGGCGTGATGTCTGTCCCATCAAGGGAGACATTAATTCTAAGATAAGGCTTTCTCAGAGGCCCCCATTACCCCCCGCCGAGGGGCTCCATTACCCCCAAAGGGGGCATGCCCCACCATTTGCCGACCCCTGGGCTAGAAGATAGCTATATAACTTTTGAATGTTTGTTTTGGAGTGTTGTATTGGATATTTCACCAGTCATGAGTCAATATAATATTTGAGGGGTACATATGTGCTGAGTTTCTAGATAATTGCAAAAGGCTGAGTGTTGTTGGAATTATCTTGTGGAGCTGCTTTTAAAAGTGCTATTACAATTATTTATTAAAATTGCCTATGGAATCTCAAGTACCCACTCCTAATAACCAGCTCCAAAGCTATTCAAAAACATAATTAAAGATATTCACAATCATCTAAATATCGAGAGCCAGTGCAGATCCGGGATTTTCTTCAGTTAGAGCTCAAGCTTAGAGGCCTCGGGCCTCTAGGCTCTAATGGCTCTGGGGTCCAGTTGGGGGCATCATGTTTCAACTTACCAGGGGTGACAAAATGTTTGACTGTACCATTTAAGTGTAAAATCGCAGATAACCGTTCAGGCGGAGGCGATGCTAACAGTGTTGTAGCACCCTGCTTCGTAGTTTGTGACTCCGCAGGGTGACATATTTTTCTGTAATCTGTATTATATTATTCTTGTATTTTTCCTAGACAGTGCTGCTCACATTTTTACCAGCGAAGTGTCTCATCATTGATCATCCGCTTAGTAAAAAGTTTTTTTTTTCAGGTCAGGTCATTTTTTCTCCACACATAATCAAAGCCCAAGAAAATTGGGAACTGAACCACTTCTTGACATAGATGTGTGACCAGCAATAATCAGTTGGGATCTTACATTGCATTGCATCTAACACACATGGAGAGCCCACTTAAACCTTACTTTAATGGTGCTAGATGTTTCAGTGCTTTACATATCACTATAATGGTGCTAGATGTTTCAGTGCTTTACATATGTTCTGTGCTTTTCATAATGCATGTCTCCTTTTCCAGAAGGTACCAACAAAAATCCCAGTAAGCACTAATGGCCATGGGGCAAAGTCTGCAGCTCTGTCAGGCACAAAGGAAACTCCTGCAGCTTCTCAGTCCGCTTTTGCACAAGCCCAGCCTGTTTTGCAAGCAGCTCTGCCTCGGTGCCAGTGTGGCAGCCGCTCGCCGGAACCTGCCCCGCTACCGGTACGAGCTGGAGAATCGTCTGCTGTTCGGCCGGGTGGTTCGGACTCCAAGCGGCGCGCCCGCTGAGCGGGAGGCTGACCCGCCCGCTGGTGTTACCGTTGTCTCCGAGAGGGGCTTTCCGGAAGGCAGTGTGGGCGTGTCGGTCCGCCCCCGGTCCCGACGCACCTCTGCTTCGGCCACCTCTTCTACCAGCACCGCCTCCCCAAAACCCTCCGCCGCCGCCGTCCCTGAACCAGCTGCCACCTCCTCCACTACCGGTCCCTCCGCCACCTCCAGCGCCACCCCCAGGTCCCGCAGTACGCTCCTGGGCACCTCGAGCGCCGCTGTTCCCCCGGTCAGCTATATGTACCCGACCGAAGAGCCGACGGACGCGCACACGGAGAGGCCAGCGACGCCGCTGCCCAGCGTCAGCCGCGTCCTGCAGGCCACAATGAGTGAGGAGAGTCGCGCGGCACTCCGCCGGTGGGAGGAGGCCATGATAGCCCGGCACGGGCCGGACGGATTCGCTCAGATCAAAGAAGGTGGGTGAACCTTGGGTGAGCCGCACAGGCCATTCATTCGTCGCTTATACCGATGTTAAAAACTTTTCTTTTATCTGCGTTCCGCGGCAGTTGATGTGAATATTGCTGGCTGGACTTCATCAAAGTGAATTTCTATCTTACATCAGCGGTAGTTTCTCTCATATCAGTTGTGTTCAGTTTTCCCCTACTGCCGTCCACCATTGACCTTACCGTATGCCCACGACACCCTTACTTCACATGTGTCCGGTTTCACTTCCGATCCTACAATTCTTCATCCGTTCGGCCCGGTGATCCCCGTCTACTTTTTGCTTAATCCCCCGCACCGGTGTGCCTCATCTTCCCTCCCCCGCCCCGGCAGCCATGTTCTCTGTGGGCCGGGAGCTGCACGCGGCCATCCACCGGCACCTGCTGGGCTCCGCTCCCGAGGCGCCCCTCTCGCCGGCCGCTGACGGGTTCTGGCGCAGCGTGCGGCCGGCTCTGCGGCACGTGGACGGAGCCGGTCTGCTGGCCGCCGAGCGGCCGCTCCGGCACACCCAGCTCGGCTACCAGGGCGTGGTCGACTGCGTGGCACCCTTCCGGTGAGTGGTGGGAACGCCGCGATGGCTTGGACGTCCGGGAGGGATGTTATATAGAATGGCGTCCGTTAATGGCGGATTTTGGTGTAGCGGTGTTATGTGCGGCTCGAATTCATCGTTTCATTCGCTACCGTGCAGCTCATGTTAATCTTTTCTTTTCTTTACTTAACTCCGTGATCAAACGTCTACATATCTGCGTTGAGTGGTGTTCAGGGGTGACCTGAGCTGACCGTTTCTTCCAGGTCTTGCCCGATGGTGATCGAATGGAAGACTGCCCGCCGGCCCAAGTACAGCGTCCGGGAACTGTACGACAACCCTGTGCAGGCGGCCGCGTACCTGGGCGCCTACAACTACACCCACAGAGACGCCCAGGTGAGTAAAGAGTCCACCCACAAATTGGGGGCATACCTCTCAGTTATGAGCTGCACACGAGCCTCGGGTGAACCTTACGTGATCGTGCAGTTGCTTCCACTTTCGCATACTCGTATCTTCTCGACCCTTGTATTGGATGACGTAATCTGACCATCCAAAGTGGATAGTTATGCATAACGCTTATGCGTAACGCCTCTCCGCGACGTGATGCCTGCCCGGCCGTGAGCCCGTGACGCCTTTCCGCGTCGTGACGCCTTGCTGTGCCGCCAGGTGGACCGGGCAGCCGTGGTGGTGGCCTACGAGTCGGGCCGGCCGGCCACCGTCCACGTGCTCTCCCCGGCCGAGTGTCGCCGCCACTGGGCCGCCTGGCTGCAGCGGCTGCTCCAGTACAGGCGAGAGACAGACGTCGTCTAGGGCGCCATTGGGCCGCCTGGCTGCAGCGGCTGCTCCAGTACAGACGGGAGACAGACGTCGTCTAGGGCGTCTATTGTGCGATAAATTGACGTCGCATTTATGTGAGGTGGACACAGACGCGTATTTACGTTTGCGAAGTACTGTCCTGGTGCTGTGAAGTTCCTTCAATCGTACGGTGATGCTTCCCAGAAGAGACGCTGTTGTGGAATGAGGATACGGAGCGGTTTGCGCTGTGCTCCTCAGGGGAGTAGGCGATACTGTGATATCGGCCGGTCATGCCGTTTTGTGGTAGAGCATGTCCATTACATCATTTTTTTTCGAATTCAGAGAGTACAAATATTGCCATCAATAAGACATGCATTGACCTTAAACGCGATGTTTTGGTAGCTAGATAAGTCATTGATTGCGTCTGTGACACATGAGATCATCAAGATTATCGATCGAATGCATTGTCCAATGATCAAAAAGCATGAACCACCATGAACATATCGCATCGTCAACAGTCTACACTCGCACATTACACAGATCACACTTCAAATGATAGCCATGTTGCCCCTGATCCGTTCTCACTCGTATATCACTCAACACAGCCAAACTCTTGATAACTGGTTGGTCCACCCATTGATCCTCCAAAGGCCCTTCTTGTCCTCTCCCGTTCCTCTACAGATCCTCCTTCGGTAGCGGACAGACCGGCTGCTCAATCTTGATCTCCACTTTGCTGAAGGGCCGCATATCGACGGCAATGCCAACCATTTTGACGAGTTTGCGTCGCTCCACGTCCAGTCCCGCCATGGCCTTTTGGACGGGCTTCAGTGAGCGTTCGCCGGCCTTAGAGGTGGCTAATAGGGCGGCCCGCAGCTGCCAGTCGCGCTCCAGCGACTCCTGAAAGGTCACACAAGGTCACATGGGATCACACGGGGTCATGGAAGATGGGATTGGCACAGGGGTGGACCAGGCACAGCATGCGGTAGTCTGATAAGCCATTGGGATCGCAGAATGTTGCGCATGTGAATGCAAAAGCGAGAGAATCTATTGCTAAGTGAGAATGAACACCAGTTTCATGCGCTGTTGATGGAATAACACGGATTAGACGTTACGCAAGCACGAACTATAGGTTAATATGTTGCCGTCACGTCCGTCATATTTGCGGATTCAGATTCGCTATTCATCATTTGCGGATAATCCGCATATAACTCACGGCGTTCTTTTGGTTGTGGAGTTTGGTGAGCTGTCGCAGCTCCGTTTCGGCCTCCTGCATTTTGACCCGACTGAGCTCAATCTCCTGCTGCACGTTCCGTTCGAGCTGCTCATAGAAGGCCTTCAGTTCACGCTCCATCCTGTCGGACCGTTATAAAATCGCTGTCATGCTAATGCTTCATCGTTAATCGTAGTTAGACGAACATTACAGATATGGGGAAAGTGTGAGTCGAATCTGGACTAATCAATCTCAGCGGCTGTATCAACCAAATGATACTGGGAATCGTGTATGGGAGATGGGAGAAAGGTGAGACCACAGCACTGTCCAAAGAAACGGTACAATCCCGATGGAAATCATCCATCCTGAGACTGTCAGTTGACGGGCATGGCTTACACAACATGTGGCCAGTGTCATGTACCAAGGCGGCCGCGCCGGGGACAGATAGCGCTGTATCAGCGTCGGGGGTCGCCCGTCCACGGGACCACACCCGGGTGGGTCCCACGCCATCGGCTTAGGGGCGTCCGTCGGCCTGGGAGGCGGCAGGTGGCGGCCGTGGCAGCCTCGCCCGCGGTGTCTGCCGCCCGCGCCGGCCGCCACTCGTCCCCCTGTCGTCCCTGCGGACGCTGCCGCTCCCGCCGCCATGCTGCCGCTGCTCAGCGTCGTCTCCCTCTCCCTGCTGGCGTGCGCCGCCGGCCGGCGCTCGCCGCCGCTGCTGATGGCACCGCCGCACGTCGGCGACGACCCGCTGCCTCCCGACCAGTGGTACACGCAGCAGCTAGACCACTTTGACGCCAGCGAGACGCGCACCTGGCAGCAGCGCTACCAGGTGAATGACTCGTTCTACCAGCCCGGCGGGCCCGTGTTTCTCATGATCGGCGGCGAGGGACCGGCCAGCGCTGTCTGGCTGGTGTCTGGAACATGGATCGACTACGCCCAGCAGTACGGCGCCCTCTGCTTCCAGCTGGAGCATCGCTTTTACGGCGATAGCCTGCCCACGGAGGACATGAGTGTAGAAAACCTGCGCTACCTGAGCTCGGAGCAGGCGCTGGCCGATCTGGCCGCATTCTCCGCCGCCATGACGGAGCAGTACGCGCTGCCCGAAGGCACCAAGTGGGTGTCTTTCGGAGGCTCCTACCCGGGCAGCCTGTCCGCCTGGTATCGACTGAAATACCCGCACATGGTGCATGCTGCCGTCTCCACCAGCGCCCCGCTGCTCGCCAAGACCAATTTCTTCGAGTATCTCGAGGTGGTCAACTATGCCATCCACGCCAAGTCGGGCGACGAGTGCTATGGCAACGTCGAGCTGTCGTTCCAGGCGGTGGAGGACCTCCTGCAGGACGCCGCCGGCTGGGCCACGCTTACCGACAAGTTCAAACTCTGCTCCAGTCTGGACGGAACCAACTCGAACGACGTCTCCAACCTGATGCAGAACCTGGCCGACCTCTGGAGCGGCGTGGTTCAGTACAACGAGGACAACTTCGGCTTCCGCGGCGGCAGCAAGCTGGCCAACATCACCATCAACACGCTCTGCGACATCATGAACGACGCCGGCACCGGCTCGCCGCTCGACCGGCTCGTCGCCATCAACGATCTCATGATGGACGCCTACGAGGAGACTTGCCTAGACTTCAGCTACGACAGCATGATCGCCGCCATGCGCGACACCGACTTCAGCAGCGCCAACAACACGGGCATGCGCCAGTGGATCTACCAGACGTGCACCGAGTTCGGGTGGTACCAGACCACCGAGTCGGCCGACCAGCCGTTCGGGAGCCGCCTGCCGCTGCCCTTCTCCATTCAGCAGTGTGTCGACGTGTACGGCGCCCAGTTCGAGCAGACCTTCATTGACGCCGCCGTGGCGGCCACCAACACCGACTATGGCGCTCGCCAGCTGCCCGCCAAGCGCGTCGTGCTCGTCAACGGCAGCATCGATCCGTGGCACGCCATGGGCATCATCGAGAGCTCCGACCCGGACCGGCCGGCCATCTTCATCAACGGCACTGCGCACTGCGCCAACATGTACCCGGCGCGGGAGGAGGATCTGCCCGGGCTGACGGCGGCGCGCCAGCAGATCGGCGAGCTCATCGGAAAGTGGCTCCAGGAGGACTGAGCCTCAGTGAACTGAACAACGCAGGACAACACTGGGGAGTCGCACAGTTGCCGAGGGAGGGGTTACGCCCGTCAGCTCACATAGTCGTTTGATGTATCCATCCGTCAAACAAAAACTGCCTCAATAATCCAACCTAAAATCGACCTAAATACAGAACGGAGCGCATTAATTATCGAAGGATGTTTTACGAATAGTGATTTTTCTTGGTCAAGCTGCATGTTTGTGTTATATGTACCCAACGAAGTCCATGCATATTATTTCCTCGGTCCAGCATTTCTGTTTTATGGAACGAAGTTCATGTAAATACATTTGATATTTCGACGTGGTGTTTATCACATACTAGCTTTTCGCATCGCACATAACTGCCCCCAACTAATCACGATGTCCCCCAGCAGCGCACCGCAATATCTCAAAACTGGTTGCACTGTCCTCCAATGCACGGAGATACCACCACAACACGACACATTCCCTGCTGACCCCGACATCCCTCCCCCCACTGACCGCGATATCTCGAGCTGGTATCCGCCGTTACAGAGCGCCACCTGGCGGCACCAGCTGCGCAGCACCACGATCAGCTCCTCCTGTTGGAGCTGCTCCAGCGACTGACGCTGGCTCAGCTCGGCGTACGAGCTCTGCGTCATCTCCACCGTGCTGCGGTAGCCCGCCTGACGACAGCGCAAGGGGAGGCTGACACAGGGACGGATAACGCAGACCGGAGCATAGCTGGCAGGTGCGCGGGTGACGCAGACATGGGATATGGCTTGCACGTGCAAGGGTTACGTCTGATATGAGCAATGGCACGGCTTACAATATGGGAAGAAGGCGAGGCTTACATGAGCACTGTCTGAAGCTGGCTGGCTGACTGAGCTAAGACCTAGGGCTGAGACTGATTGAAGATACACTGCCTCGGTTTCCAAGGCAATACTTACGATCTCGCTCGTCTTCTGTCTCCGCTTTTCTATGAGCTCCGCTTTCTCCAGCTCCTGTTCTCTTTTGCGCAGCTCCATTTCTGAAAACAAGCCAAAAATACAGCAACAGGTATAGTTAGTTAGTTTTGGCGCGCAAAGGCAGCTTGCTACTATTATAGAGATGATTTGAGGGCGAGGCAGAAGCTCCTTCTTCCCTTTCTTCCCTCTTCTATCCCCCTCCCTTCTCCTCTCTCACCCTCGACCTACTACTGTAGCTCGGCGGTGCGGGTGTCCTCCCTCTCTCCCTCTCTCACCCTCGACCTGCTGCTGCAGCTCTCCCCCTCTCTCCCTCTCTCACCCTCGACCTGCTGCTGCAGCCCTCTCCGTGTCCTCCCTCCCTGTCTCCCCTCTCACCCTCGACCTGTTGTTGCAGCTCGGCGGTGCGGGTGCTCCCTCCCTCTCCCTCTCTCTCCGTCCTCCTCCCCCTCTCTTCCCCTCTCACCCTCGACCTGCTGCTGCAGCTCTGCCGCCTGCTGCGCCCGCTCGGCAGTCCGGGCCCGCTGCTCCACCAGCCGCTCCGTCTGGCGCTCCTTCAGCTCCTCCAGCTTCTTCGTCTGGGTGGAGAGGTGCTCGAGACGCGCCTGTCGCCGTGGTGGCCGCAGGGTCGGGGTGTTAGCGGTGTGTCCAGTTACGCACAGAACAAACGTTCAGGTGCGTGTTGGTTACAGGGGCGGCCACTGACGGTGGGAAATGCGCTGTAAAAACAAACGTAGATGGAAACCGAGGAGTTGGAGTGCTACCGCCGCACATAGTTTGAAATTACCTACTAGATACACTAAAATGTCCGTACATGAGCTCGGAAGATTTGCTATGAGAAATTTAATCAGCCGCACCTACTAATTGGTCTACCGCCACGAGATCATCCCGCCTACCTGCGCCTTCAGGATGGCGGGCTGTTTGCCGTCCTTGAGCTCGGCCACCACCACCTGCAGGTGCTGTAGGATGTCCAGCTCCTCCTCCGTCACCTCCTTCAGCATGTCCCGAACCTTCAGGGCGCCTTCAGTCTGGTGGGACGCGACAGAACGTGGTAACATGATGATGCTTGTGAAGATATTGTAATGATATGCAAAGAATTGCACAAAGCAGTGCATGCAATTTAAGGTGATAGGTGAATAGAAAGGATAGAAAGGTCATTTGTGGTACAAAGGTGCCTGAATAAACAAAACAAATCTTGACAGCACGGGAAAAAGCACCGTGCTGTTGAAACAGCAGGCCACGCATGGTAGGATAAGGACAAACTGCAAGCGGACTCCTGGGCCCTGTTTCACGGCGCGACGCTGCAGCGCGCTACGAGTATTGGTGTATTGGATTCATAAAAAGTCGGACGCTGGAGCATTATAAACGTCAGAGACTATTGATGTTTACCGGGAAACCTAGCCAACCGATACGCGTAGCGCGCTATAGCGTCGTGCCGTAAAACAGCCGGGCCCGTACTGCCCCAGCCGGCCGCCGGAGCCCCGGATTTCGGCGGAATTTACCGATCCCCGGCCCGTCCCGACTCCCCGGCCCGACTCACCCGGGCGTGGACGTCGGCGAGGATGGCGTCCGTCTCCTGCTGCCTGCTGACCAGGCTGCTGTACAGGGCGCCGACCCGCTCCCGCAGGGTGTCCAGGTCCAGGTCGACGATACCCTGACTGGGAACGGGAGGAAGGGAATCAGAGTAATATCAGACGTGTATATCGTCTGTCTAGCAATGAAGTTTTACGTGACTGCGTCCCAGTGTTTGAGTCACTGGTACCCCCATAGCGAGTACTTATCAGGAGATGAGCAAGTAGCTATCAGACCCGACGCAAAAGAAACCCAATAACAGACGACCTGACTCCCACACTTGCCCCAGACCACAGAACCGACCCCAGTCACTCAAAGACGACAGACCCGACACCCAGCCACTCACAGCCGGTTGATTTCGGCCAGCTTCCTGCGCGACGTGACCAGCATCTCGTTGGCCAGTTCCATCTGCTCCTTCAGCAGGGTCATCACCGTCCTAAGGCAGACGGACGGTATGGTTAGATGGCACGGTACTGGCATAAAAGTTGTTAGTCCGTGCTAGCACATGCAGGTACATGCAGCATGTTGACGGTAGAGCCAGAACGTAAGGATGAATATGGGGTACCGATTCATGAGAGCATGCGCGGTGGTCAATATGTTCTGCATTATTATAGACGATTATTTATTATCTGCGCAGAATATTCTCAATATTTCACAAGGCGTCTGATAAGACTCTGGCTAACCTCATGTAACGCTATGCTTAACACACACCCAAACCAACATTTACTTCGTCTCCTACTCCCCTCCTCACCCCGTCCCAGTTCCGCCCTAATCACGTACAGATGGTCGGCCTCCATGTTCTCCATGTCTTTGAGCGCGCCGCTGATGGAGTCGAGCGTGTCGGCCACCGTGACGCGCATCTTGTTGCGGTCGGAGGTGAGCGACTGCCGGCGCCGGCGCAGGTCGGCGTGCCGGCCACGCGCCTCGTGCTCCCTCTTCTTGGCCACCTTCAGCTCTGGGGAGCGTGGGAAGCAGAGGGGGAGGTTAGGTGGGGAGGGGCAGGGCACGTTCTAGAGACGAAACGTAGATGTTGACAAAATGTCGGCAAAAACCTGCATGGGAGTTAAACCGATGAGTTGGGAGTCAGCTTAGTGAGATACTAACCTTCCTCGAGGAGTTGGATCTCCTGAATTAGAGGACTAATGTCCATCTCTGCTGCCTCGCCCTCCATCTCCAGCTGATAGTGAAAGAGGGGAAAAGAAAGAGTGTGAGCGATCAGTCAGCAAATTGAAACGTACTTTGGGAAAAACGAACCAATCAAAACAGGCGACTTTCAAAGGTGACTGTTTTAAGTGATTCACAAAGGAAGTTGACGGAAGGGGAATTCAAGACGACACCATCTGCGTCTAACGCAGCTATTCGATGGCGTAACGTGTATACCAATCACGAGTGAGTTCGCCTTGAGACATGACTGAAATCCCTCTCTATCCTTAACAGCCCAGGGATAGACGGATCACACACACACGGGTGTCCCTTGCTGACCGGCAGCTGCACTACCCACCTGCTCCAGAACGTGGGTATCCAGCAGGTGCATCGTGTTCCTGACCGAGATGCGCGCCGTCTGTACCTTCTCATGGACCTCCGACCAGCGCTGGGTCAGCGTGGCGAACGACCTGGGGTCAGCAGGGAGATCAGAGTGGCGAACGACCTGAGGCCACGGCGATCAAGTCAGCGTGACGAACGACCTGAGGTCAGCAGAGAGATCACAGGTCACACATTGATAGAATCCGAGGCGCAAAAGCTGACGAATGTTTGAACGCTGACACTACAGGAAAAGTGATTTTAGGGCACCCGGAGGTCATCAGCGTATTATTACATAAAAATGTGTCGATAGACATTTCTCTCTAGCGAATTACATCATGAGCATGGAAAACTTTCATCCTTTATTCCTTAGCAACCATTTCGTCCATCAAACACTGCAAGCCAAAACAGCAGCATCCACAGTCAACTCATCAGAGCTTTAAATACTGCACACGTCATAATTAGAGCTACCAATATCAAAACCGCCTATGCCGGCACCACAGTGACCCATGCAGTCTGCCACCCACCACCCATCACCCAGGGAACAGCCACCCACGATCGCACCTGTATCGGTCCTCGGTGGACTCCTGTGCGTCGGCAGTGAGCGTGCCGAGCCGGCCCAGCTCCCGGCGCAGCGGGTCGGTGCGCTGCCGCAGTCGCCGCTCCAGCTGCACGGCCTTGTTCTTACGCAGAACCACCTGACGCAGCTGTCTGGATTAGGAGGGTGGATATTAGTGGGGGGAGGGGAGGGGGCACTGCAGCGCGTCGGTGTGGAGGAAAGAAAAAGAAGAACACAAGGGGTAGAAACCAAACGAGGAAGTGGGACGTCACTATGTGTGTTAGAAGAGACACATTAGGGGTACAGGTCTCGCGGGATTAAGCGGTAGGTTTTGCACTTTTACATTTCCGGTTATATCTCAGAAACTAATCGATCTACGATGAAGCCATTTTACACGATCATGGCCGGCTTGTTACCCAACTTGATGACTTTGGTTGATCGCATCTTCAACACTAAAAAGCTTAAGACGACGAAGATCCTGAAGTACACTAAATTTTCTAGGTACAAAACCTACCGCTAAAACCCGCGAGACCTGTACATCGATCAGGCGCGGACACACTAGCGCGAGCAAATGTATAATACCTGTTGGGGAATCCCGTCTTTGATTTGACCCAAGTTATCTTCGAAGTATCTAAAGCATAAAAAACGTTACCTCTGAGATATCCAAAACGTTTCAGTATAAATGCTAAATATGGTTCCACTTAACACCACACTACTGTCGGCTGTCGCCGACTCACTGTTTCTTTTTCTCCGTCTCGGTCTGCGTCTGCGTGACGCTGTCCTGCAGGAGGACGAGCTCCTCCTCCACCTCGTCAGTAAACTGTTCCGACAGCAGCTCGTGCAGCGAGTCGCTGCGGATCAGGTCCGCCATGCTCCGACGCATCAACTTCATCTGAGAACGGAGAAGCGCGTTACAGCAGACATGCATGCTTGAGCGCTGTCCTATAATCCATTCTAGGTTATAACAAAATGATAATGTTGACAATCAGTTGGGTAGTTGGGCGCCTAGAATTCGTAGGTCATCGACGCTCATGATACTAAAACGAGGAAAGCATCCACTGTCGTTTCCTTAGACGGCATGTGCCTTTATCGCGCTAATTTAGAGCCGTCCTATAAACTCCCTTCTTCCCAAAACCAGCACCTCTGCTAACCTGTGACCGGAGCTGCTCCGTGTGTTCAGAGGCGTCCAGCAGCAGTGCGCGGTACATCAGCACCTCCTGACGCTTCAGCGTGGTGAGGTCCATCAGACGCACGTAGATGTTCTGCACGCGGCCGCGGCCCGCACTGGCGGAACGCACACATGGTCAGCGGGGGTGGTAGTAGGAATGCGTTCCTATGCGTTGTGCATAGGAAAAATACCGGTGGTACTGCATACTTCACTCTCGCCATAAACGGTTCTCAATATAAATAAGACTAATGCTCTAGTTCAATGCCAGTGTGGCAGAACTGCGCGCATATTTGTGCACAAATGATGACAAGTTTTTAACTTTTCGATTAGAATGAGCTTAATCGTACCATCTCAGGTAGCTCAAATCCCTCACGGGCCTCAGGCCTCCTATAAATCCACACTTCACGCGACTCGTGCACACAACGTCACGGCTCTATTTTCCCTGCCCACAGCTGACCTGACTCGCTCCGCCTGAGCCACATATTGGGTCAGCTTGTGGACGAGAGCCATGTTGACCTCGATCTGACCCGAGAGGCGCTCCATTTCCAGTTGCCGCTGGGCGCGCACCTCCGTTATCACCTCAGTCATTTTGGCTGTCGAACAGAGGCGGGCGCCGCTATTAGAGAGCACGGAGAGGTATAACGGGTAGGGGGCCTGAGATACCAGAAATGGAACTCGGGGTGGGTTGAACACATGGCGCTGACTAGGACACGACAAGGAAGAGACACTGGGGTGGGTCCGGCACACTGGCAGAGACGAAGATCGTGTGACGCACGAACTAGGTACAGGGGTGGGTCCGATGCGGAATGTTTTGACCTGCAGGACGGATAAGGGCTCAGATGCATAGCTGCATCTATGGGACAGTGATTTCCGCCCTAAGCTTTAATAAGTTTCGCCCCATCTTATCGATATTGCACGCGATGATGCGCTTTAGGTGTTGCGCGAGTAGTTGATTTGAAGATTTTCCAGCTTTTCCGATCAAAAATAGGGCAGACTAGCCTATATTAATAACCGTCCAGCAGTCACGCACGAGCGAGAAATGCAAGACACTCCACGTCTTATCTAGTTAACCATGAGATCATACCTAACCTAGCTAGACATATCTATGTAGATCATATCCAAGCCCAGTTAGACAATCAGTCATCCCCGGCCCCTCCCTTTCACACGACAGGTGGCATTACATGTTTCCTCTCCGCACACCCCTCGCCGTATCCCTTCATCCGACCCCAGCCATCTCCAGCCAGCCCCTCACCCTGGTACTGGATCTGCAGCCGCCTGTGCAGCGCCTGCAGCAGCAGCCGGTGCCGGCTGTGCGCCATGCTGCGCAGCTCCAGCTCGTGGTGCAGCGCAGCCGCCGTGCTGACCAGCTGGCGCAGCGCGGCGCGCAGCAGGTCAGCCGGCTCCTCCAGCTCCGGAGAGTGATTGAACGGACCCGTCAGCAGTGTGGTGTCTGAGAAAGGGGAGGGAAGTGTGCTGGTTAATCGACAGCAGGACAGCCTTTCGCTATTCATCAACGATATAAGCATCTACACAATACACATTTTTGTACTACGATCTGTGAAAAGCATTTCCATCTAAACTACACGTCTATTTAGGCTCAACGCAACTTAAAAGCGTGCAATCTTTGCCGAACGCTACAATCAAATATTGAACCTTTCCGTCATGCAGAATCCCCGGCCCCCGCCCGATACCAGAACAGCTCAGTTCGCGCACTCACTCAGCTGTTCGAGGCAGGTCCTGGCGAACTGCAGGTGCTCGCGTCCGGGCGTCTCCAGCGGCTGGTCTACGGCCGTCAGCGCGGGCAGCGTGAGCCGCAGCTCCTCCGGCGGCGGCCGGGTCAGCGCGTCCCGCTCCAGGGTCTCCAGCACGCCGCGGTAGCGGTGCTGAAGACTGGCCACCAGACTGTCCAGGGTGGATACCCGGCCGACGCCGACGGAGGTGAGGTGTGGCCGGACAGCGCCGCGCGGCTCGTCCGGGGAGGACTCCAGCTGCCAGTGGCCGGGCGCCGCCTCCAGCACGGACGGGGCGCGCCGCCACTGCTCGGCGGCCGCCTCCGCCTCCGCCAGGCGGGCCGCCTCCTCGTCCACGGCCGGCGGCCACAGCTCCAGCGGTGTGATGGCGCGCCGACGAGCCGCAGGCATCGGCGCCTCCGCCAGCGTCCAGGAGGGCGCGGCGGCCGGCTCGGCAGCCTCGTCAGGCCGGCCGTCCGGGTACAGCTCCAGTTCTGCCAACAGGTCCAGCGGGTCGCCCGGCACCTGTGACCAGTAGTGGGAGCCCCGGCGCTGCGGCTCGTCGCGCGTCCAGTGAGAGCCGCTACCCTCCTCCGGCGCCGGGTGAGACTCGGCGATGGGCGGCGGCCGGGAGTCCACAGACGCCGGCTGACCGGGTTTCTTAGGTCGGGTTCCACGAGGCATGCTAAGGCTGTGGTGGTCTGGAGGATGGTTGGCTCACTTGGGTTTGGTGAGCCGCTGGATCCAGGATTTCCTGGCAGAGCTCGGGTCAGGTTTCAGAGCCAGCGAGTCGTAAGACCACTGGCAATTACCACAGTTCACGGGCCTGACAAGACTGGGATGAATAAACCTACCTCTTTTTTAAGAGGCGGGGTTTCCAGCCAACCAACGCTCAGTTACCGATACATTCACTACGATATCTAAAATTGATTACCTTTGATAGATACTAGAACCTTTTACAAATTGAATCGTAAGTGAATCGTTACTTCTGTAACCATATGTAAAACACCCAGACCAACAGGTAGTTCACGAAAACCCTCAACGAAAACCAATAGACGCAATTTGCAAGCCCGTGGAGAAAAACCTTCGGTCTCGTGAATTTCATCGAGCAAGTGCTAGCAGATAGCATACAACAGATTTTTTTTCAATGCACGCATTCATATATTCAAAACTACGTTTGCGAACATCTGACATCACAACGAAAATCGCTGAAGTTCTCTCACTCCCATTGACAGAGCTTTCCATAATTATCATCTTAGACGGTCCTTTATCAACTTCAAAGTCAGCACAACACAACGTCACACCTCATACTCGCTGCCGTGCACTCCACCCCCCCCCCCCCTCCCCCGCGCACTACTAGCTCTTCTCTGGCGCTGCTGCTGCCGCTGCGGCGGCGGCGGCCGCCTCCTGGGCCGCCCTCCTCTTCCGCTTGTCGGGGTCCATGCCGACCTCGGCCAGCTGCTGTTTCAGCTCCTTGAGCTGCAGGTCGGGCACATAGCGCACCTCGTCGTACTCGCTCTTGTGGCGCTGCAGGCACGCCTGGACGCCCGGCGGTGTGCTGTGCTGCAGCAAGTCGATCACCACTGGTGCCATGGTTGTAGGCAGGTCACGCAGCTGCCGATACACGAGGGATGGGAGAGGGGTGAGCTGTTGCCGCGGATGGCGGGATCGAGATCTGCCGAGTCACCAGGACAGTGTATGACTGTTCAATACGAGCACTCGACGCGGGGGCACACAGTGAGCAGCCTTGGTGTAGATTTTTCGAATGTTTCTGGTACCATCCGCGTGCAATACGCCAGACGCGCAGGTGCGTTTGCGTAATGCCACTGTTCTCGCAGTAGGTACCGTTCCCAATGGGAAATAATAATCTACGTAATACAAGTCACAACAGCCAGCGCAGCAATTCCAACAAGTTACCCTATTCATTCCTTTTGTTGCTCTATTCCTCTTTTCCTGCCTCAAGTGCCGAGGCGTCCTCCCATATTTGAAAGATTTTGTGCCACTTCTAATGACACTCCTACGACAGTCAACAAATACATCCAACACACTAGGTTCGGCGGCTGACTTACCTGGACGTTCCTCTCGTAGAGATTCAGATCGTAGGAGGTCTCCACAATGGCCGTGTTTGGTTTCAGCCGGGTGACGCGAGCACTCGTGTGGGGGGTCGCCCAGCTGTCACCAAAAGCAGAGTAAGTCACGGAGCAGAGCATATTGTGAGGACATTTGGAGCTGGGTGTGACCGACAGCACGGTGAAGAACATACGTCACGGATAAGGAAATACCGATGAAAATTCGAGCGAAATGCGTATAACAAGTGGCAAGACGCAGAACAGTAGGGCACAACAAAAACGATGGAGCAGAGCCGGGGTCATCAGAACACGGTGGGGATGCCTCAAAGGGAACCGCAGCGGAAACACATAGCACAGAACACGGCAAACGTCACACAGAATATGGCGCCAGATTATATTAAAAAGCAGGCATTGTAATGAGAAAACATGAGAGCATACAAGGAGCACCGGAACACGTCGAAAAACATAACACAGTGGAGAATATAAAAACATAACCGCCAGGCCAAACGGCGAAAAATACAACAAAATGAAGAACACGGAAATACGATGAAGAACACAGGAACTGGCGAGAGGAAGGAAAGACGGCAAATAGTACTATGGCACACGGCCCTAGTCCACGAACCACCGTTCACGACCCACTATCAGACCATCGCCCACCATCTATTATCCACTATCCGATCCCCGTCCACCGTTATCATCCACTATCTACCATCCCCGCTTTCATCGCCCGCTCACTTTCAGGGCAAATGGTAAAGCCGCCCACTACCTGTCCCTTGTCCGTCGTTAACTCACCAGTCCTCGACGTCGACGTTAATGGCCCGCAGCATGCGGTGCACCCACTTGGCGTAGTGTTCCAGCACGGCAAAGTCGTACGCCTGGAGTCGGATGTTCAGCAAGTCGTACACGGGCACCATCGGCTCGGAGGGCTGCGACCAGAGGATGAAGGTCATCGCACGGGCCGACCTTTCTTTCAATCTTCAATACCAACAACCGCCAACAACCAAGAACTTTTCCTAACCCATAAGTTAATGTCAGGTTTTAAGAGACCCAATATGAAATAACCCGTGTGGGTGTATGCAATTTCCCACGTCGAAGATGCACCTTCATATTTCAAACACTACTCCAACTCTGCCGCCCGCCCCGACATCACCACACTGACCATCAGCCGTTTGCCCAAACTCGCCACACTGACCGTCAGGTACTGCGGCTCCAGCTTCTGATTAGTGACCTTCACGAGTCGTGGTGCACGGCGCGGCCGGCCGGCCGACGTGGACAGCCGCACCATCTGGCCAGCGGAACGGCTGGACACGAGGAGCGCGGTCCTCCGCCACATTTCTGCACAGAGACAGACAGAGTAGACACTCAGATATACACACAGTCAGACATACACATACAAACAGCTGGACACGAGAACACTAGCCTTTCGCCACATTTCTGCACAGAGACAGACAGAGTAGACACTCAGACATACAGGCACAGACAGACAGAGACACGGTCATATAGACACAGCTGGTGCAGCACTTTACATAGTGACTGACAAGTGACATGACTGATTTTAGATATTTTATGCATGCTTTTGCGGGTGTTGCTTTATATTGACGTGTATATTGTATGTGTGTGTGTGTGGGTGTGTGTATCATGCATTGACTGGGCCGTAATAGCCACTTGTGGACAAGCCCTAAATAAACGAAACGAAATGAAACGAAAACACACCCGTATAGAAAGTCAGGCATACAGACAGATGCACTAACAGATACAAAGACTGACAGACATACATGACAATAAGGTTAGGTTAGCTTGGTTAGGTTGGGTTGGAATGGAAATTTCCAACATTTCAGGGAAATAAACACCAAAAAACGCCTTTTGGGCGAAGAACGAGCGCGAGAGATGGTGAGCCCTGCACGTGCGAAAGGGCTAGAGAGCTACTTCCAAGGAGGCTTGTGCAAAGCCTGGTGCAAAGCACCCTCCTAACCAGTCGCTAGCGGTGTGCCAATTTTGAGCGCAATCGGCCCAGCCGTTCCTGAGATCTGGAAGCGGCATTCTGCACGTGCGCACGTGCAAACGGGGTCCAAACTTTTTTTTTTTTAGTGGCCCTAACTTACGTTACCGGCCTCGCGAGGAGGGCGGCGACCTAACTACGCCGCGCAAAACAAACTGGCCGTCCTAAGACCGGTGGCCACTTTTACAGCAAGACAACATGGGAAAACCCATATCCATGTACTATGCCATGAATATGGGAAAAAACCCATGAATTTACGTTAAGACACATAAATGACAGTGAAACTTACCGGTAAATTGATGTTTGTGAAGGGAGGGAAGGAGGAAGTTTGTGAATGGTAGACTTTTGCAGGGCACCCTACTAACCGGTCCCCAGCCGAGTACCAAATTTGAGCACAATCGCCCCAGCCGTTCTCGAGATCTGGAAGCGCCCCCTCAATATATAGCCTTTGCAAATATTTTGTTTATTTTCAGCGCCTCTCATGCTCTGTGGTCTGTGGTCTTCAACTCACTTCTTTGCACCGTGTATTGGTATGTTGAGGTTCCCTTGAGGTATCCGTGACTGATAGGTATCTTATTTGAATTAAAATGTGTATGGTATTTTAATCCAACACCAGTCTACCAATTCAAACATCGCACACTCCCACCTGCTCCCACCCGCATAAATGTTGTTGTTGTTGGGTTAGGGCGCGTAATCGCGAGGCTCAAGCGTCCCTACTTGGTCCCTACCCTGCAAGCGTCCAACCAAGCGTCCAACCACCCGCATAAAGAATCACCGACTAGGCACAGTATTTGTATATTTGTATAAATCACTGAACTCTATAATGTGGAATGCGCATCGGCCGCCAAATCAGTCCCACGCACAAGGGGGAAAAGCTAAAAAAATTGAGCGCTCAAAAAATTGAGCGGGCCCCATTATGAAGGAATAGGCGAAACGATGGTATTTTACAATGCCTTTAGCGTCACACTACGGCAAATATCGTATCCAAATAAGGTATCAATGGCAAGAGAGAGCAACAAGGTTTCTTCTCGAACACTCGCCGTGATAATTTATATCGGTGTTTTTGGAAAGAAAATGCCCTAAAGACGCTCAACTTTTTGAGCGCCACTTGTCGTTCGGGACCGCGATACTCAATAAATTGAGCGCCACGACAGACGGCAGTCAGCTGGCGCTCAAAAAATTGAGTGCCGGCCAGCATCTACACTCAATTTTTTGAGCGTTCTCCGTGACAGGTGAAGCCGGTACTGGCTGCCATTTTTGATGTTATGTTCGTTGAAATACGTTAAACTGAGTTGAAACAGAAATGCAGGAAGTTGAATGCTACGTGGTACCTAAACTTTTCACAAACCCATGGCATCATGTCACATTTCCGCTAGTAGTTTTATCGGTCTTTCGGATTCGGCACACCTCAAATAATTATACAAGGCTTGAATAATCCGTATGAATACTGTAATTGATATTCTCTGACTGTACTGGGAGAAGGGAATACGTGAATACAGAAAGATATCCACCCACGCTTGAATATTGGAGAATTATAGCAGGAAAAACTGTATTGCCACGGTTACAACTTACAAGGCCATCGGCCGCAAACAAACAAAAATACTATACAGTATACAATGTGGGTTAGATTCACAAACATCAAGTGTGGAACACAGAGACGAGCAAAACAACATCACATTATCGCATGCCAGCCCAACCACATTGGAACCGGGTCCGGGTGACCTGCGACCGGAACCTGCGTCTTGCCAGCATACATCACAAAAGCAGGAGGCAGTGTCGTACTGCTTTGATCCAAAATATGCCATATAACAAATGATATAAACAACCTAAGCTCGGACTAAGCTTATCATTATCAAATCCTTAACATGTAAAGGACGAATGGAAACATCGAGTCTCAGACCAGCAGTAGCAACGATCACAGTAGCAACATCACAAAGAACAAGCGGCATTATCAGACAGCCGTTTTGTTATCGGGCTACAGGCGGCGACGGCGTGGTTGCAGACCAGCTGCGAGGTAGCGGCGTGCGGGCAAAAGGCGCGGGCACACCTCCATGTGGCCGTGCAGACAGTGCGCGGTCGGCGTCGCATAGTGGGCGGCATCGGGCTGTCCCGGGCCGTCGAAGCCGCACAGGTTGTCGGCGCATGTGGGCGCGCGCGGTCACCACGGCCAGCTGCTCACCGCCAGCACAGACTGCGCAGCGTCGCCGCTCCGCCGGCCAGAACACGCAGACAACCCTTCTTGCAGTCGCACAACACGTCGCCAAACTCATTCACCTGCTCCACCATGTTGTTGATGTCACCGAGTCGTTCGAGTTGTGGCTCGTGCCGTCGAGCATGACCTGCCCGATCGGACACGGGTCAGTGGCTTCTGCTCCAGCGAAGTCTTCATCTTGGTGACGTCTTGCTGATCTCCACAAAGGCTGAGCAGATGACCTTACCCACAGGGACGGCCGACGTCCTCGCCAGCGACCGCTTGGTTGTGCAGACCTGCCAGAAAAAGAAAAGCTGTTTGGTGATCTCAAACGATTTTTTTCTTTATGCAGTGGAACAAAACGGAAACTATGTCATACAACAGGAACTAAAAAAAGATGCAGCCTAGGTCGTCTAAGAAATGGGTGAACATTGATAAAATTCTTCATTGAATGAATTCTGCAAATGCTTTTGATAAAATGTGTGGTGATTATAAGGAGACCACTTTACTATAAAATTGCTCAGGATTCCCTATCTGGACCTGTCAAAAAATCCTGACTGCACACCAACAATGAGCATTAAATCCAAAACCTCTACCAGGTACCTAGGGATAATTAAATTCTGATTCAGGAAAATATTTCACATCATACAAATAAAAACCTTTACTATATTGAAACTGAAAATGTGATGCTGATGCAGTGACCTAAGGGTCTCAAAGTATAATAATGAATTAATCTATTATAAATTTGGTGGTGACTGCCGACTGGCGTCTGGCGGCCTAGACCTTGAGGCTTGAAAGTGGCCTTCCTTTTCCGTTGACTCCGATCCTTCAGATGGAAATGATATAAAGGATCATATGAGCGAGCCAGTTAGCAAAGTGGCTATCCTGTTTCAGCATTCACCCACACAATAGTTGACTGTCAGTCTGTCATGCTGTCAGTGTTGTGAAGTAATGAAGGAGTTGAGTTTTGTTGATTATAAATTGTGATGTTATGTAAAGGACTGGAAAATGAATGTGAAAACTATGGAAACATATTGGCAGAGTATTGTCACTTACTATCAGGACATATGGATAGAGAATACATTCAAATTAATAAGAAATGCCAAATATCAAGGTACTCAATCACTGATGGCAGTGGACTATCATATGTTTTAATGTCAATTATATGAAAGTTAAGACTGAAACTACCTTTTACCTCGTCATAACTAATGAAAAATTGTGTGAAGAAAACATTCACAGCCTCTTTGAAGCACTTAGACCACTAAAAAACAAAAATTTTCACGTAAATATGTTGTGTCTCCTTCCTTCAAAACATCATATCGGATGGCGCCACTTTCGTCGACAGTTACTTATCTGCACGCAAATCGAGGAAAACGTGATTTGATTGACGTTTACGTGTTTCCAAATTTAAAATTACAGCATATTCAAACTTTTCAGTGTACCTTTTAACATCTAAGTACAACTAAAACGATAAAAACTTACCTTCAACACAAGGACGACGACAACCACGCGACCGGAGACGTCGCGACGAAATAAACAAACGGCGCCGCCAAATGAAAAATATTCTCCGATATGGGTAATGTGAAATTGAATCGCAATCATTTTGGGTAGTATGAAAAATGCTCTTTCCAACAGAACCCTAGTAAAAAACGTGAATGGACAAAAAATAACTTTTATTTCGACATAAATATTGGCCTGTTTTTAAGTCATCCTGGTATGCCGTAAGATTTCGACCTATAAAGTGGTGTTCCCCCAATCATTGAAGCTTGAGCAGTGAAAAATATGAAAGCCTAATCTGTTTTGCACCATTAGTGATTCTCCTAGGGTGTTGCCATTTCTCCCTAGGTGTTGCGAGTTGCTTTTGCAAAACGTGTTCCTGAAACGGCTCAATTTTTTGAGCCCTCAGCATTACGCCTATGGAAGCCTCTGACGTCACACGCTCAATATTTTGAGCGCTCAATAATTTGAGCTTTTCCCCCTTGTGCGTGGGACTGAAATGGTGTCCAACGGTGCCGCCATGTTGCGCAGACCAGAAAGCGGCCGCCGCCTGTGCTGGGGAATAGGGAATTCGGGACCTCGATTTACGTTTGCGGTCGCTGCATCCGTTACGCTCAAGCTATGTGGACACAGAACCCGGCATCTTACGCAGAATTGAGTGGAGAACAAGATGAAATCCTAAAAAATCATCAGCTGTAAGGAACTAATACGTTAAACCCTTATAAGTCAATGGGGAAATATGAAAATTGTTATTTTGGCGCCGAGAATGATCTGAAACTATCTCAAGCATATAAAATCATGATTTCATGCACTCTTTGCAAGGTTCTATGCTTCATATTTGCATTGTTGCCCTTGCGTGACGTCATTCGTGACGTCACAAGGGTCACCATTTTTCTTCAATAACTCCCGATCAAATTGAGCTAGCGAGTCGGGAAAGCCACCAATGGACTCAGGAAGACCTGCCGAATCGAATGATATGCGACATGACCTCTTTCGACCAACTTCGTGACCTGGGGGTGCTGACCTGACCTTGACCTGAGGTCAACACCCTAAGTTGACCTGACCCGAACAAAAAGTATATCACTCGATGCGCCTGAGCTAGCTGAACACGATGATGCCAAAATCGTGGCTCTACGGCCATTTTTGGCGAAGTTATTTACCAAAAACCGAACCCGTGCCTTAGATCACTTGACCTGATTTCAGAGGTCACCGGTTGACCTGAGACCCTTACAGCGGGTTCCTACCAGTCACTCTGCATTATACTTTGCCGCATACGACCACTTTACCGCTTAATTCAAGTTTAATTAGCGGTGCATTAGCGAGGTGGGTTCAATCAACCCCCTCGGCCGGGGCAAATGTAGGTCAGGCGAGTGAATTTGAGGAATTCTGAAGATATGATCGTGTTCCCCACTCAATTCTGCGTAAGATGCCGGGTTCCGTATCTACGTAACTTGAACGTAACGGATACGGCGGCCGCAAACGTAAATCGAGGTCCCGAATTCCCTATTCCTCAACACAGGCGGCAGCCGGTTTCTGGTCTGCGCAATATGGCCGCCACCGTTAGACACTACGGCCAATAGGGTTGAAGCGGCATTGCTCCCCTGTGGTATAAATTGAAATACGACGAGGTACCCGAATCAAAAAACAGCCGAACGGAAGGCGCTGCGCCGTAAATGAAAATCTTACGCTGTATTTGTCTTCAAATAAATGCTTCCATATTAAAGTTATTTTTAGGCATTTTTTATGGGACAGCACGGACAGCACTATTCAACCGCCACCCTTGAAGTCATTCTACAACTCGGGAATCACCGATCCGATCGGAATTCGGAACGCACTAAACACCATTCGAATCAGGCAGGATCGTGGGGGCAAATGCCCCCGCACTCAACAGAATTCCCCCCTCCCCAGTCGTCGAGATTTGCCCACTATAAAATGGGCATAAAGGAACAGGGTGACAA